ACAAATCTTTTATAGAAACCTAAAACTCTTACAGTCAGTAAATGAATCACTACCACAAAATACATAGTCCTTGTGGTGTCTAAAGGGTTATAAATTCAAATTATATTTTGTCAACATATGCGGTGTCAGTAGTTCATGAGGTCATTATTTTACTCATTTAATCATTAATCTACCTTTAGGATGAACTACTATCAACAGTTAAAGGATAAATGTTACAGTTGTTTTCAATAATTAACAGTTAATTTCCTGTCCACAAAACTCAAATACAGATATTTTTAAAACAGACAGAATATCTTCAGAAGTACAAACATACAGTTTGAGAGAAAAAGCTTGAACATTAGATTCCCAACATTCAGACATTATTTGACTGGTTACAAAAAAACAGAGTTGAAGAGCCCTCCCACCTGATGAAAACACAGTCAGAGCTGAGTGCTTCCATTACAACCCACCCTCCTTTAAAACCGTTTGATTCATCTGTTGGTTTAAGAATGAATAGATCAGATAAAGAAATACATGTAACATACCAAGTCCCCTCAGAGAGTCAAAGAAAAACAGATCGCACAGGACTGAAACAGCAGCAAGAGACAGTGAAACCAGAGATATACTCAAATTAACTCCAGAGTTTCTACCCTGTTCAACCTCATGTTCCACTGAGTACAGACAATTGTTTTATTTGTGTTTTTTTAGAACAACCAGACTAAAGGATGTTTTATTATTATTAATAATAAAACATTATTTATTTTCAGGAGTCTACAATGCTGTGCAGTGATGGACTTCAAGACCTGCAGTGTTTTAATGTGTCTAATAAAGTCTTTTGAAGGTATTTCCACACAAAACACTCCAATAACACATTGATGTGTTTGTGACCAAAAAATCACTGACATCGTAATCATTCACATCAAAACTAATTTATTCATTACTGTCAATGAAAGAAATTCACTATGCAATTATACAGTCATACATAAGCTTAATGGTAATGCTAACATGCTAACATGATGACAATTATAATTTTGATAATTATTTGTAGCAGGTAGAATTTGACCTTGTCAACCATCATAGTTTAGCATGTTAGCATGTTTTTTTCTTCAGATACAGACTCTGAGGCTCCAGCGGTCGATTGTCTTTGTTTTTGATGCAGTTTTATTAAATGTTTTCTTACTTTTAGAAAGTAAAAATGAATCCATTCAGTCTGATGACATGTATTATAACTATACTACTGTTTCTTGTTTGTTCTTTAGTTTGCGTTGCAGAGCAGTCAGAGTTGATTTGTTCACATCAACCAATCGTAGCCCTGGCTGGTGATGATGTCATTCTACCATGTTACCTTGATCCTCCAATCAGTGCCAGTTCTGAGACAGTGGTGTGGACCAGACCTGGTTTAGACCCAAAGTACATCCATGTTCACCATAATGGACGACTGGTGTACGAAACTCAAAATCCATCTTATTTCCTCCGAACGAGACTGTTTGTGGATGAACTGCAGAATGGAAACGTCTCCATGAAAATCTTCAAAGTGAAAATCTCTGATGCAGGAAAATACTTTTGCTTCCTTCGATCAATGTTGAAGAAAGCTTCCATCCAACTCACTGTTGGTAAGTCAGACTTTCTGAAGATGATGAATTACACATTTCTGCTGACTGCAAAGATCAGTAATGTAACTTTATATTAGAAGTAAGCAGCCATGATAAGACACAAAGAAAACAGTGCTGTAAGTTATTTGTTGGATCTGAATCCACTGTTTGAAATTCCTCCTCTCTTCTCATCAGGTGTCGTCTCCACTCCCATCATAGAGATTGTCTCCAATAACAACAGCAGTAAGGTTTTACAGTGTGAGTCTAAAGGCTGGTATCCAGAGCCTGAGGTGGTCTGGCTGGACGGTGAGGGAAACCTCCTCTCTGCTGGACCTACAGAGACAGTCAGAGGTCCTGATGACCTCTATACTGTCAGCAGCAGAGTGACTGTGGAGAAGAGACACAGCAACAACTTCACCTGTAGAGTCCAACAGAAGGACATCAACCAGACCAGAGAGACACACATCTATGTTCCAGGTTATAAAGAGCTCTAAATATATTAAACATATTGTCACTGTTGAGCTCTAGTTTGATTCAATAATGTCATTCTGTTCTCTCTTCTATCTTTTCATCTGATTCATTCACAGTTCAGTCTTCTGATTGGATTCTGATCATCACCATTATTCCTGTTTGCATTATTGTGCTGTTCATCATTATCATCCTGACAATATGTAAGTCGCATATTTATTTTCCTTTTTATTCCAAGTTACTGTCAGAGCTCTTTATTGACATACATACAGGCATAACAACAGTAACTAAGCAAACAGTCTGAAATGATCTTCACTGCAGGAAATTTGGGGAAAATGGAGGAAATAAAAGAAAATGTGTTGCTTTCAAAAGCTTTCTCTCAAATGTTCTGTTTATGAAAGTCACTGTGATGTTAAAATATTCCAGTTCAAACAACCAAAACACATGAACAAAACCACTTCAACACTTTCCTGATTCTGTTGGCTCACAGGCATAAAGAGGATCCAGAAGAATTAAATGTAACACTGAAGACATTTTAAAACACAGAGAGACGCAGCGTTGAACGATGTGGACTAAAAACCTCCTGTAGTGACCGAGAACGAGGAGGAAATCATTGTGACACTGGAGGATATTCTCCATCTTTTCCTGCTCTACCATCACACTGACAGAGAATGATGATGTTGTTTGTCTTCCTAGTTTACAATCTATCCATTGTGACTTTGTTTTCAGTCTATGTGAGCAGGTGTTGTCTTTGAGCCAGTGAAAAGGCTGCAGACACACAGTGAAGAAGGGAGATCTTAATGATGTTGGTGTCCAGTCTAAGATATGAGCTGTGACTGAAGATTCCTGCTTTCATTTCATGGATTGTATCAAAGTTCCCACTTTAGCACTTTAAAAGAATCTGAACTGTTTTAAAATGTCAACAGGTTGTGTACAAAAGGCTGTGACTGTGTTTAATATTCATTATTATCATCATCATCCATTCTCATCTGTTTAAACACAGAACTGTTCACTTTATATTAATTTAACCTTTTATTGTTTTTATTGTTTTACTCAAGCTGTATGAGTTTATTTTAGTAGATTATTTGTATTTGTGCTGGTTGAGATTTGTCCTGTAAGGATCTGTGGATGTGACAGGATGCTCCTTTAGTTTCTGGTTTTAGTGACAATGAAAATACTGATCTTGGCATTAACCTCTGTTCACATTTTAGTATTTATTTCTGCACTTTTCTGTATTTATAATTCATTAACTGCTGTCTGTAAGTCAAATTAAAGTGTTACTGTACTCAGCACAACTATTAAAACCTATCTATCAATAGATCATACTCTCATTTATTATGTCATTGTGGTCATTTTCAACACTGTAATTCAGACACTATTAGACCTTGCAGCTGGAACCTTTAAAGTAATTTAACAATGTAATAAAACACAGGGTGACTCCTTATTGAACAGAAACCTTTACACTCACTTTAAGCTCTCTGATATTAGAAAGAAAGGTTAGTGCGCCCCCTGCTGATAAATAAAGGTTCATTATTAGTGTCACTGCATCTTCCTCTTCATGCTCCTATAATGTGTGCTGCTCTCACGTCTCCAGGTTCAGAAACTATGAGGACTTTGTATTAGAAGTAAGCAGCCATGATACAACAGAAAGAAGACAAAGTAAAACAATTCATGAACACTTAACAATGTAAAGTCAGATTAAAATCAACACTGACTGGAAAAAAACCTGAAAGGTGTCCTGTGGAGTTTTCTTCTACACAGACAACAGTTCAATCGTCTTCCTGCCTTTGCAGGTCCATTGCTGCGTTTGCTGCCACCTGTAGATCACAAGGTAACACAAACAGAGAGCCACTGATGAAGACATTGTTTCACAGCACTTACAGAGGTCAGAAACACCACAGGCTGTCTTTAAAGCAACTCTAAGGTTGGTATTTGTTGTGATTCAGCCCTCAGTTACCACTGTGGTAAATATGGACAGCTGAACATGTGCTGATATCTTGTCGTCTGTTTTGGTTCGGCATCATTCAGCACAATCTTTGTTCCCATGTGTATGTGTTTGTCAGTGAACTGGTGACTCTTACTGGTTGTTCTGGGTGCTGTTACAGAGGAGGCTGGGATCAGTGTAACAAATACTGCAGTGCAGGAACACTGACCATCACTAATATGAGGACTGAGAAGAAAAGAAGGAGGCTCAAAAGCTTCAATTCTTCAATAAATAACATCATATCAAATAAATGCTGCTGCTCTGCTTATGAACCCTTCACACACATATTCAGGCACCTTTGACCTTTCTCATCATTTTGTGCCAAAGAAAATAGATTTGTAAAAACAGAAATAGTATTTTTATTTTAATTCTATATGAAGGGGTGTCATAGACTGATATTCAACTCAAAATACCTTAGTTGTCCCTCAAGGGGCAATTCAAGGCCAGCGAGTGTGCAAACAGAAGTACACATAGACAGTTTAATCAAATCTTGCGGGTTAGATTATATAGATTATATTAGATTGTATTTTAACATCATGTCCCGAGCAGGAGGGAGGGGGGTGGAGGCCAAAAGAAGTGCAGGATTAAAAGGCAACAGTAACTGGAGATGTGGCTTTAACCATAATCCCATCACTAACAGCTAAACTGAGATTAATTCAGTGTTTGGTGTTACTTCGAACTTGTGTGATAGCAGGAGAGAAAACTATAATGTTTCCTCTCTTCTTGTTTTGTAACTGAGCCTTGGTTTCATTTGTGTTGTTTATTCATCACTCAGCACATTCTGGATGCTGTCTGACCGCACAGAGGACTCTTTAACATCGTCCCCTCCTCCATTCAGCTGAACCTGGTCTCACAGAACAAGTTCCACTAACTCAGACTCTCTTTCATTGACAATGCTGAATAATCTGTTTTATAAAGTTGTACCATGAATCCAGTTGAACTCAGTGTGGCTCTCTTTGGGGTACCTGTCTTCACATTGGTGATCCTGGATAAGTGGTCTCATAAAGCTGGTTGTTAACTGGTTCAGTGAACTCTGAGTTTATCAATGCAGCTACAAGAGTCATGAGAAAGAATCTTTTTAAATATGTTCAGTATTTCTAACATGCTCAGTAGTATAAAGGGAGTAGTTTTTATTTTATGTCTTCTCTGAAAAATAAGGAAGGTTTTTCAGTTTTGTTTCTCTCACTTTGATGAGTTTCTGATCAACCTTTTTCTCGAAGGTGTTACTCAACAAATATTTTATCTCCCAGACTGATTTTTATGAATTCCTTTTGAATCTAGTCACTGACTTTATTTCCTGCTATATAAACTTATTTGTTCCTGCAGTGAGAAGTTGTAATGTCTGTAAACACAGTATGAACAGGACTAAACTTTATATGAAAACTACTCTAACAACCTGATTATTAGTCATTCATTCAGTGTTCAGTTACATCCACTGGTTGAAAATACTGACTGCCCTGCTGAACAACTCTTTAGAGATAATAACAGAGAGGAACTCAAAACCTCAAATGTTGAGAAACTGTGAAATTTCATAAAGTCATTGTACATCCTCATTTCCTGTCAGATTAAGAACAGAACAACATCACAGTGGAGAGTTTGCATCCATCACGCTGTAAGTCAGAGTTTCTTTTTAAAGTAAAACTTGAATGTAAAATGTTGGATTTGTCATCATTTCATTCTTTGACTGTTATAACAATGTGCAGATTATTTTATGGACAAACTCTCTGTGTTGTTTATTGTGATATCATTATAGTCTATATAAAGTGGACTCACACTGTTACGTAGACACTGAGTCTGTATCTTTATATTGTTATCATTTATTTTACAAACCTTTTATTGAAAGCTTTGAACTCTGAAAGACGATGAAGTGAAAGATTAAATATGTTTTTATCCTCCAACAGTGGAGGAGGAAGAACTCTAACAGTCAGTAAATGAAGCACTGCCACAAAATACATAGTCCTTAATCAGTATTTTACTCATTTAATCAATAATCTACTTTCAGGATGAAGTACTATTAACAGTTAAAGGATAAATGTTACAGTTCTTTTCAATAATTAACAGTTAATTTCCTGTGAAATGATTGAGGAGTTAACATGTGAGGGCAGTTTGATGCTTTAAAGGATGCATTTAGATACACAGTCCATCTTAATACAAACATACATTGAAAGAGTTATTGATCACTTTTTCCTGAATCACATTGGACAAATCTTTTTATCAGAAAATTCAAACAGTGATATTCTTAAAACAGACAGAATGTCTTCAAATGTACAAACAGACTGTACAGGAGGAGAAGAACAGAAAAACTTCATAACACATAACTTTATTATTATTTCACATGAGCATGAGAGTGGTGCACTCTGGTTTGTGGTTCAGTCAGTTACAGCTGATGAGGAACAGAAACAACAGATCACACTGATGCAATGAGACAGGAAGAAGAGAGACAGTGAAAGAAAAACTAAAATCAGCTCTACAGTTTCTACCCTGTTCAACCCCATTTTCCAGTAAAGACTTTTATTTATTTTATTTTAAACAAGCAGACTAAAGGTTTGTGTCTTTCTTTATATTCAGGAGTCTACAATGCTGTATCCAAAGACAGAGCTCTGTGATGGACTGTCCTTCAGGACCTGCAGGGTTTTCATCATTCTTCTAACACAGTGTTTAACAGGTAATTTACAGTAAGACAAACGTCTTCATATAATCAGATTGTGTCAGCTGCTGTTTATATTCTCACTGCTGATGATGAGTTGTTCCTGTACTCCTGATACACAATACCTTAAAAATAATAATGATAAATATTACACAGATCCTGATTGATTTTAACGTCACTTTTAATGTCAGCCATTTTGTCCTTCACGCACACACACACTAAAACAAATTTTTTATCATGTTTTTTATCCCAAAAAAAGCCCAATAGAATAACTGTATCTTAACAGGAAGCTCAGGATGAGCCGTGGTTCTTTAAAAATAAAAGTCCTGGTAAGTACATGTACGAATGTACTAAGTTTTTCAAAATAAATCCGGAACTCAGGATGACGCTAATGTCGGACAGTTTTCTTGAAATGTTCTAATGTTTTTAAGTATTTCTGAATTATGAATATTTAACAGGAAGTGTAAATATGATGTTTGTCTCTGCAGCACAGTCTGATGTGATTGGCTCAGACAAACCAGTTACAGTAACAGTCGGTGATAACGCCATCCTGCCATGTCACCTGGAGCCTCCATCCAATGTGAGGAGTCTAACAGTGGAGTGGAAACGTGATGGAACATTTGTGCATGTCAGTCGACATGGGAAGGACTATCTAGATGATCAGGACAAGAACTTCAGAGGTAGAACATCTGTCTTCCATGAAGAAATGATCTTTGGAAACATTTCACTAAAACTGACCAACGTAACTGAACTGGATGCTGGAAGTTACACCTGCTTTGTTCCCGGACTGCAAAGTCAGGTCAAGAGAGGCTTCATTAACCTCACTGTTGGTGAGTACTGCTAACATATTACACATTCAAATAAAATAAAATGTTATTTGTCACGTTTTAAAGGGTTTTTAGCTGCTAATGTGGGGCCATATGTATGTGTTATGTATCAGCTGACATAAAAACAGCTTAAACAATTCCCTCAAATTAAATTAATAACAAAATCAATGTCATATTGTGCTTGGGAAACAGGAAACAGAGAAAAGGAAAATTATTGTTTGTAAGATTTAATGTAACAGAATTGTTACTCCGTATGTATAATTTCACTTCATCTTTTCTTGTATCTTCAGGTGTCGTCTCCTCTCCTGTTATCAGTGTAATGAACAGAACCAGCAGCAGTGTGGTTCTACAGTGTGAGTCTAAAGGCTGGTATCCAGAGCCTGAGGTGGTCTGGCTGGACGGTGAGGGAAACCTCCTCTCTGCTGGACCTACAGAGACAGTCAGAGGTCCTGATGACCTCTATACTGTCAGCAGCAGAGTGACTGTGGAGAAGAGACACAGCAACAACTTCACCTGTAGAGTCCAACAGAAGGACATCAACCAGACCAGAGAGACACACATCTATGTTCCAGGTTATAAAGAGCTCTAAATATATTAAACATATTGTCACTGTTGAGCACTAGTTTGATTCAATAATGTCATTCTGTTCTCTTTTCTATCTTTTCATATGATTCATTCACAGTTCAGTCGTCTCCTGATCGGATTCGGATCATCATCAGACTTATTTTTATTATTGCTCTGCTCATTATCACCCTGATAATATGTAAGTCACATATTTATTTTCCTTTTTTATTCCAAGTTACTGTCAGAGCTCTTTATTGACGTACATACAGGCATAACAACAGTAACTAAGCAAACAGTCTGAAATGATCGAGGAAAACAATTTGAGGAAATAAAATGTGTTTCTTTCAAAGGTTTTCTCTCATTTGGAAATGTTCTGTTTATGAAAGTCACTGTGATGTCTCTCTGTCTTTCTGTCTTTGTCTCTCTCCCTCTGTAAACTCTTGCTCATGGTGGTACTGTTGGGTCTCTGTAAATAATGCTATAAGGAGTTCAGTCTAGACCTGCTCTATTTGAAAAGTGTCCTGAGATAACTTCTGTTATGAATTGGCACTATATACATTGAATTGAATTAAATGTTAAAAATATTCCAGTTCAATTATCATATTTTTGTTCTGATTGTGTCGTTTTCTCACTTTAACACTCATTCATTGATTAGACAAAAACACATGAACACAACAACTTCAACACTTTCCTGTTTCTGTTGGCTCACAGGCACAAAGACGATCCTGAGGAATGGAATTAAACTGGAATGAGATGTAACACATGGTGTGAAACAGGAACTGTTAATGGTCGAAGGAAAGCCAAAGGTCCAGAAGCATAATGTAAATATGAATGCAGTGCAGCTCCAGCTCTTAGTGGAGGGAAATCAGCAACAGGAGGACCAGAGAGAGCAACTGGACAGAGTTCAGAGGTCGCAGTCAGAGGAAACATCAGGAGCAGGAAATAACACTGAAGACACTTTAAAACACAGAGAGACGCAGCGGACTAAAAACCTCCTGTAGTGACCGAGAACAAGGAGGAAATCATTGTGACACTGGAGGATATTCTCCATCTTTTCCTGCTCTACCAGCAGCGTAACTTCTGTATATGCACGTGACGGAGCTGCACAGGGGCCTGCAGCAGTTCAGAGCCCATAACAAACCACTGGTATCTGCACTGCTGCTTCAATCTTGATTGACAGTAGCTGAACCAACATCATGTGCAGCGATGAATTTCTCCTTATTTATAGAAGTCAGTGAGCTAAGCCCCTAATGTTAACTGTTAAGTGTAAGCTTTATAACCTTTTATTGTTTGTTTTATTTTACTCAAGCTGTCAGTGTATGAGTTTGTGCTTTACCACCTGTAGACAACATGTTCATTTTTATATTATTCTAATTGTCGGACATCATGAAACGTTAAGTAAAGCTTCTTGTTGTGTGACAACCCACAGCACTTTAGGATTTATAATCCATGTTGGTTTAAAAGTTAAAGAGAAAATAATATTGAAATAGTTCTACCAAACAGTTCCCACTCAAGGTCCACTTACTGGTATTTTCTTGAGTTTTCAGCCACATCACACAGTCTTCATGGATGTATGAAGTGTGTTCAGATAATTTCAGCAACCTCAGACTGTAACAGAACAGTTTACCTGCAGCCTTCATTGTATTTTATGGAACAGGAAAGTTTGATCTTCCTCCTGGAGCAGAAGGTCTGTTTGAGCAGCAGATAGTAGCACACAACAATGAAAGATATTAGAAATAACAGACAACCCGAGCTGCAGAAATCCAAGAGGACTTCAGATGATGGTTGTTGTGTTTATGGCAGCCTCTCTCTCCTTTAGTTTGACTGACAGCTGAAGATGAACGCAGCAACAGTAACAAACAGAGAAACACTCAGTACAGGTAGAGTACAACAACTAAATCATTTGTCCTGTAAGGAGCTGTGGATGTGACAGGATGCTCCTTTAGTTTCTGATCTTGATACTAGAAAGAAAGGTTAGTGCGCCCCCTGCTGATAAATAAAGGTTTAATATTAGTGTCACTGCATCTTCCTCTTCATGCTCCTATAATGTGTGCTGCTCTCACGTCTCCAGGTTCACAAACAGTCTAAAGCAGAACATCTGTGTGGAGACGCTTCGAGAAAGCAATCACAGGTATCTCACTCTCTGTCTGTTATCAGTCATCAAGTTATCAAATTATACCCCAGGTTAATTAAAACAGTACCTCCAATTATACATATAAAAAACCTGACATTATATCGTTGTATGAAGGGGGGCAAGTCTTCAGCACATTACGTTGCTGTAGCATAAGGGCCCCAAATCTTCATGTAGCTATCTATCAGTTTATAACATAGGAAGTTTTAGCCATTTTGTCCAGACACTCCGTCACTGGTATATCCACTCTAGTTTTCCTACATCCAGTGATAAGTACTGTTCTGCACCATGAGATCTGCTGAGCATTTAGTCCACTTCCCTTTGGTATCACACCTTATAGACAGATCAGCAGTTCCTGTACCAGTACAGACATCATCAAGTGTAATCTGTTTATATGTACTGTAGGGCTCTCTTCATTTCACCTTTATTCATTGTAAAGACTTTAAAAAGTCAATTATTGGCTTAATATGTGCAAAATTAACCCAACAATAAAAAAAAATTTAATCTTGCTGTGGATGATTTCATAAACTAGTAAAATGTGTCAATATCTGTCCTCATAAATATACTAATTTTTATTCAATAGATACTGACGTACTCGCTCAACACTTAAAATGTTATAATAAACTCAGCCACACAATTTAGGATCGGAGGGTTCGAGTACAGTAAATTATTTTGTAGTGTGGTTTTAGTCTTGATTTCACTTCCACAATTATCCACTAGAGGTCACTATTTTACTCTCTAAAATCCTTGGTGTCTCAGCAATGCAGATTTATTTTTCAAGAATGCAATATGTGTCATTAATGTTTGATACATCTTCATCATTTATATTTGAAATAAAGCTAATAAAATATTTATGATAATAAAAACAAGACATTACCTCTAAAACACTAATATCAGCTTCTTAAGCACTTAATTGTGCAATATTAAATATATCATAACACATTTTATTTATCTGTTTTATTAGAATGTTTGATAATGAACTTCAGGGAACATCCTGTTGTCTCAGAATAGAAATGATTACAAATTTAATAGCTGAGATATCATCGCCATGGCTGTACCTTGCCTTTTCCTTGTGTCTCCCCCCCCTGTGTCTCCTGTCTGTGTTGTGTGTGTGGTTTTCCCTCCTGCCTTCCAGCTCTGCTCCACACACCTTTCTGCAATCCCCTTATCAACCCTCCCAGTCTGCCTACCTGCCTCCTATCATCTCATCTACCCAACAGTTTATCAATACCGCGCTCCGTTGATTGTTTCGTAGATTGTCTGGAGCGGGAGTTACACCACACCTTTCTGCATTCCTGCCATATTTAGGATACACCTCATCTATCTGCTTGCCAGTCAGCTATCTTTAGTCAACCATTTCCTTTTTTTGGAATAAGACCGACTCAGTTTGTTTATCTGTTCTGGGGGTTTTTCTCTCTGTCTTCTGCAGAAAACATCACTTCCTGTACAGGTTTCGATACTTGTGCAACTTTTGTAACACCTTTTGACCAGTTCAAGATCAGAGATGAAAAGTGTGTTGAATCTAGATACAATACACTGAACAACAGGGGCGATGTGACAATAAAAGCACAGTGGTAAATAATAAAACTGTGGTTTTTCCACAATGACATGTCAGAATTTCTGCTGTGAAAAAGGCCTTCAGATTTAAAGTGCTCCAGCTTATAAACACTGACATAAAGACACTTCCACTCATACCTCTAAGTTTATCCAACATCTACTACCCTGATACATGTTGAAATAATAAATACATAAGAGACATGTAAAGCTGTATTTCCTTCATTTCAAGTGGAACTTTGGCTTCATACTACAGTGACAGAACCTGACCTTCTCTAGTCTAATTTCAACTTTCAACAGGACACAAAAGCATTCCACAGTTATCTGACTTGTTAGTGAAATGTAATCAAACTAAACTTTGGTTTAATAACCTGTGACCCCCATCAAAGTTGTACTTCTTCATTGCATGCCAGGGTGAGAACAGCACAGCATGACTGAGTTTGCATTCTTCATCCTGCAGATAAGAGTTTCTTTTTAAAAGTGAAATATCGAAGGCATATTTTCACAATCTTAGACTGTTAGAACATATAACATATACTAATACTAGTATACTAATACTAATATAATGCAGGTTATTCTATTGACCTAAACAAATCTGTTGTTGTCTGTATAAAGTGGAATCATTTGGCATTACAAGTGTAATACTGAGCCTGTATGTTTATTCTTCTTATACAACCCTTTTATAGAAAGAAAAATGAAGTGGAACATTGTCTGTGTTTTGTAGTTCAGCCCTGGAGGAAATACATACACAAAA